CGCGGGCTCGAGTTTGTTTAAGCCTGGTTGGAACTTTGTTGGAGCTTTGTTTGAGGTTTGAGCTCTAGATGAGTTTTGTTGGAGCTTCGGTTGAGCCTTGTTTGACATTGGTTTGAGCGTTGCTCGGGCTTTGTTTTAGCTTTGTTCCAACCGGGGGGGGAAGGCCTCCCCCCTCACCGGGTCCCCTCTTCGAGCTTGGGGGGGGAAGGACCTCCTCCCCGCCGCCCCCCCGGTTCGATCCAGGGGCGGGAGGAGGGGTTTTCTCCGGGAGAGCACCCCCGTGGCGCACTCCCAACGGCGGGTGTCCCCCCCCTAGCTACACCCCCCATTGGACCTGCCCCGCTGGACCTCCCCCCCCCTCCTTGTTTTCCGCTCCTCGGAAACTACCTCCCCTTTCGCGCTCCAGAAGCTACCCCCCATCCATCCCTGTCCAAAGGGGGGGCAGCTTCGCTACCCCCTCCCCCATTTGACCCTACCCTGCCAGGAGCCCCCCCCCCCCTTTTGAGCTAAAGGGGGGGGCTTGGAAGCCCCCCCCTTGTCTAAAGGAAGGAGCGCCGAAGACCCAAAGAGCGCCGAAAACCAACGGAGCGCCGAAAACTTAAGTGCCACCGAAAACCGAAAGGGTGCAAAAACCAGAGGGCGCCGGAAAACCAAAGACCCGCCGAAATCGACTTATGGACCTCCGGCTGCCTGGGTCCGGGGTCCGGGGTCTGGGTCCGGGGTCCGGGGTCCGGGGTGCGGGGTCCGGGGTCCGTGGTCCGGGGTGCGGGGTCCGGGGTCCGGGGTCCGGGGTCCGGGGTCCGGGGTCCCGGGTCCGGGGTCCGGGGTCCGGGGTCCGGGGTCGGGGGTCCGGTGTCCGGGCCCGGGGTCCGGGGTCCGGGGTCCGGGGTCCGGGCTCTGGGGTCCGGGGTCCGGGCGCGACCCGGGCGGCCGGCGGTCCATGTGTGTCTAAATCCGAAAGGGCACCAGAAACCCAAGATGCGCCGAAAACCAAAGGAGCAAAACTCAAAGGAGCGCCGAAAACCAAAGGGGTACCGAAAACCAAAAGCGCGCCGAAAAAACAAAGGGGCGCCGAAAACCCATAGGCGCCGAACACCTAACGAACGCCGAAAACCAAGAGGCGCCAAAAACAAAAAAGGCTCCGAAAACCAGCGGGGCGCCGAATACTAAAGAGCCGCCGAAAACCAAAAGACCGCCGAAAACCAGAGCAGCGCCGAACACCAGAAGGGCGCCGATGAGCAAAAAGCACCGAAACCCAAAAGGGCGCCAAAAACCAAAGGGTCTCCGAACTTGAAAAGGACGCCAGAAACGAAAGGGGCGCCGAAAACCAATAGAGAGCCGACAACCAAAGGATCGTCAAACACCAAAAGAGGGCCAAAAACAAAAGCACTGCCGAAAACCAGAAGGAGCTCCGTAAACCAAAAGGGCGCCAAAAACCAAAAGGACACCGAAGACCAAAGGCGCACTGAAAACCAAGAGGACGCCGAAAACCAAAGGGGTACTGAGAACCCAAGGTGCAACGAAAACCAAAAGAAACGCCGAAGATCCAAGGGCCGCCGAAAACCAACAATGCGCCGAAAACCAGAAGGGCGCCCAAAAAAACAAAGTGGCGCCGAAAACCAAAAGGGCACCGAAAACGAAAGGGGCGCCGAAAACAACAGAAGCTCCGAAGACGGACATGGCGCCGAGAACAAAAAAGGCGCCGAAAACCAAAGGACCGCCAAAAACCGCAGAAACGCGGAAAACCAAATCGGCGCCGAAAACCAGAGAGGCGCAGAAAACCAAAGCAGCGCGGAAAACCATCGATGTGCCGAAAGTCGAAAGGGCGCCGAAAAACTCAAGACGCGCAGATTACCAAAAGGGTGTCGAAAACCAAGGGCGGTAAAAAGGAAAGGCGCGCAGATAGCAGAAAGGCGCCCAAAACCAAAGCGGCGCCGAAAACCAAAGAGCTCCAAAAAACCAAGACGGCGCCGAAAACTGGAGAGGGCCGAAACCAAACGGGCGCCGAAAACCAAGAGGGCGCGGAAAACCAAAAGAGCGCCAGAATCCAGAAGGGCGCCGAAAACCAACGATGCGCCAGAAAACATAAAGGGTGTGCAGAAAACCACACAGGGCGGCGAAAACCAAAGGAGCGCCGAAAACCACATGAGCGCCGAAAGCCGAAGGAGCGCCGAAAACTAGAGCGCCGAAATCCAAGGAAGCGCCACAGGCCCAAAACGCGCCGAAAACCAAAGAGGCGCTGAAAACCTAAGAGACATCGAAAACCGCAAGTACGCCGCAAACAAACGGGGCGCCGAAAACCAAAGAAGAAGTAGCTTCGAAGCCCCCCGTCAGGGCCCTCCGGCTGGAAAGGCCAGCGAAAGAAGGGGAAGGGGGGTAGCTTCGGGAGCCCTCCCCCCCTTTGGAAAGGGGAGCCCAGGCTTACCCCGGCCCCCGAAAAGGAGGGAAGGGGGGTAGCTTCCAAGCCCCTTCCCCCGTGTAGCCAGGGACGCCCCAGCTACAAAATCCAAGCACAAGGAAGGGGGGGTAGTTTCGGAAGCCCCCCCCTTTGAAAGGGGAGCCCAGGCTGACCCAAGGGCCCCGAAAAGGGGGGGAGGAGGGGGGGAGCTTCCAAGCCCCCCCCCCCTTTAGGTAGAGCCCCCCCAGCAAAAAAATGCCCACAAAAGGGGGGGAGGGGGGGGAGCTTCGGAAGCCCCCCCCTTTTCCAAGGGGGGGGTAGCTTGAAGCTGGGGCCCCCATTTTAGTGAGAAGTGCGCCGCGAGCGCGCTCGAATTTTACCCCGCCCCCGATTCGAACCGGAGGGGGTCTTGCCAGTAACACTGGGAAGCGCACTTTGGCAGGAATCGAATCGGATCGAGCCGGCCGGAGTCGATCTAGAATGACACCGATGGGATCGAAATGGGCCCCTCGCGTCCAGATCCAGCGGCGGGCGCCAGCGGCGCCGACCAAGCTGTTGATCGCCCCAGCAGGGATCTCGGCACCATGGCGGGCGAATCTCGCGAGGGGGCTGCGAAGGCGGCGCGGCGCGGCGGAGTGGGAGTGGGGGCCCTCCTCCCGTCGAATCCTCCCAGGGGGGGGAACCCACCTCTGCCTCTCCCTCCTCGTGCTCCTGCTCTTCTTCCTCCTCCTCCTCCCTTACCTCCTCCTCCTCCTCCTCCTCCTCCTCCTCCTCCTCCTGCTCTTCCTCCTCCTCCTCCTCCTCCTTTTCCTCCTCGTCCTCCTCCTCCTCCTCCTCCTCCTCCTCCTCCTCCTGCTTGTAGCGTTATCATAATGATGGTTGGTATTATTCCTCCTCCTCCTCCTCCTCCTCCTCCTCCTCCTCCTCCTCCTGATCATCATCATCATCATCATCATCATCATCATCATCACATCACCACCACCACCACCACCACCACCACCACTACCACCACCACCATCACCACCACCACCACACCACCACAACCATCATCATCATCATCATCATCATCATCACCACCAATCATCATCATCATCATCATCATCATCATCATCATCATCATCCATCGTATCATCATACATCAATAGCATCACCCTCCTCATTACCATCATTCATCATCATCACCATCATCACTCGTCATGGTCATCATCATCATCGTCATCATCAGCTTCAGCATCATCATGAGTATCAGCATCAATATCATCATCAGCAGTAGCAGCAGCAGCATCACCATTATCGCCATCATCATCATCATCATCATCATCATCATCATCATCATCATCATCATCATCATCATCATCATCATCATCATCATCATCATCATCATCATCATCATCATATCATCATCCGCAGCAGAATCACCAACATTCATCATCATTACCATCATCAACTAATCAGAATCATCATCAGCATCATCAGCATCATCAGCATCATCATCAACATCATCAGTAGCATCATATTCGTCAAAATCGTCATCGTCATCAGCATCATATCATCATCATCATCATCATCATCATCATCATCATCATCATCATCATCATCATCATCATCATCACAATCAGCAGCGTCAGCAGCATCAGCATCAGCATCAGCATCAGCATCAGCATCAGCATCAGCATCCTCATCACCATTATCTTCATCATCAGCAGCATCATCGTCCTCATCCTCGTCCGCATCATCATCATCATCATTATCAGCAGCAGCAGCAGCAGCTTCATCAGCAGCATCATAATCGTCAGCATCATCATCAGCATCAACACCATGATCGCCATCAACATCAGCATCATCATTATCAGCATCATCATCATTATCATCAAATTTATCATCATCATAAGCATCTCCATCATCCTCATCATCGTCAGCATCGTCACCATCATCATCATCATAAGCAGCATCATCAGCATCATCATCATCGCCATCATCGTAATCATCATCAGCATAATCATCATCAGCATCATCATCAGAAGCATCATCAGCATCATCATCAGCAACATCACCAATATCGCCATCATGATCATCAGCATTATCATTATCAGCATTATCATCAGCATCATCATCATCGTCATCCGCCTTGCCCTCCTCCTCCTCGTCCTCCTCGTCCTCGTCGTCGTTCTCCTCCTCCTCCTCCTCGTCCTCCTCCTCCTCCGCCTCTTCCTCCTCGTCCTATCCGTCTTATTGTTATTCCTCCTCCTCCTCTTCTTCCTCCTCCTCCTGCTCCTCCTCCTGCAAATTCCTGAGGAATGTACGCGACAGAGTGATTGGGCTGATCCTCACAGTGTAAGCTGCAAGAGTTTCGATACTTCAACCTATGTGCGGAATGATCGCCACGAAGACTAGTAGTTCTCATTCGAACAAAGCTACTGCTGCTGCTCTACACTCCCCCAGGCACGGGGTCACATAACATATATATATATATATATATATATAGCAACTTAATTTCCTCCTCATACTCCTCTCCCATCCTCCCACCTCCCTCTTCGTCCACTTGCTTCTCAGCAGCTTCCGACCTCTCCTATTCCATCCTTCTGCTCCCCCTCCTTGTTATGGAAGCTCGACAGGGGGAGACAACAATTGCTGGATTAGGACAGGTCGGATGAAGACGCCAGGTCCAGAAGAGGAAGCATCGGTGGGAAGAGCAGGACGTTTGAGGACAAGAATAAGAAGCGGCAGAAAAATGACCCAGGGACGTACCCAACCCTTTGTACACATGAGGCGACTATACATCGGACCGCTCAATATAAAAGCGAGCACTGAAGGATCCGCCGTGCCCTTGAACGATTCGCCAGAACGTCGGAGCAGTCACATGTTCGCATATGCAGCGTCGCTCTTAAGAGTCAGATCGTTGACAGGAAGGCGGCCACGAGGGAGTGTGGAAACCCAATATGGCAATTTCTCGATCCCTCGAAGACGAAGCCGTTTATGGAACGCCCTGAGAGGGGAGTCCGTGCATATGTTCTACCAAAGCCACCGTACACCCCGCACTTCCAGCGAGAGGTCAGGGGGGCGAAGCCCCAGAATCTGTGCGTGGTGTACCAGGGCAATGCAGCGTCCCCCCGCATGCCGTGACACCGAACATTTTCCGTGCTCGGTCCGATAATCGAGACTGGGCAAATTTGAGCAGACACGCACCGAGCCGCTTTGGACCGGAGCGTGATGCCTGCCGAGCCGCATGTGCCCGAGTCGACCCTTGTCCCGAGCACTCGAGACCGACCGTCTCAGAAGACTCGGCATGAACGCGCATCCCAGGACATGGCATCATCAACTTTAAAGCACATCGACACACACACACACACTGACGCCGCTCGAAAGGCGTGAAGAGGCTCCCAAAAAAAAATGCGACTGAGGGCCCTTCTAATCCAGGAGACACCGCATAAGTGTTGACTACGCGTGAATAACTTCGTGCGCTTTGTGCACACCTTCAATGTCCCAGACGCACCGAGAAGCGTGCCAGCCGACTTGGTTCCAACACCTTCAGCCTACCACGCAAAAATGACTACGTTCGACAAGCGATGGCGACGCTGCCGACATCGAGCGGCAACTCCTGAAAAAGCTGCCTCGGCTCCACTGCCGCCGCCGCTGCAGTCGTCGCCGTTGTCGTCGCCGCCGTGACCTGTCACCGGCGAACGCGCGGATAGCGTACACAGCGAAGACCGCGTCGCCTGTGCGAGCAACCTCCAAGAGCACCCCAGCGCACCCATCTCGAGATGCTTAAGATGCCCCATGAAGCGCTGCCACAGTGCCAAACTCTCCCCACGAGCCACGTCAATGGCGGGAACCACTGTGTGCGCAAAGGGGTCCTCTCTTCCTCCCGCAATTCATCGGCTAAGCTTGGCCTGCCCGCCCGCCGCCGCCCCGTCGCCACCCTGTTCTTTCCCACTGGGCTTTTCCGGTTCTCGCCACGTCCCTGCGTGCACCGCCTCGTCGCCGCCTCGGGCGCTGGCTGGCTCTGCCGGGTATTCGGCCGGTGCCCGCCCGTCGCCGCTTCGTCGCCGCCTCGCGAGCGAGGCTGGCTCTGCCAGGGCTTCCGTCGGGGCCCGCCCGTCGCCGCCTCGTCACCGCCTCGTGCGCCGGCTGCGCCTGCGCGGCTTTCGGCCGCCAGGCGCTCGTCGCCACCTCGTCGCCGCGCTGGGGCCCTGGCTGCACGGGTTGGGTGCGGTTTTCCGTCGCCCCCATTGGGGTCCTCGCGTCCGCCTCGTTCGCTGGCCAGCGCTCACAACACGAGACAGGTTCCACCACACAGATCGCATCTCATAGCTTGCATCGTACAGATCGCACCCCATACGCTGCTCGATCTAGCTCGAACCGCCCAGGCTCTGGTCCCCAACCGAAACTGGGGATGACAGCACCCTTGCGCGTATTCCCTCGTTCTTTCGATGCACGATCGTTCGTCCCCATTACACAGGAAAAAATGCGTGCGCATATATCTATACATACATAGCTTTAGACATAATGATATACAAGTATATCTACTAGAACCATCGCGCGCCCTTCGCGCGCGCTCAGGTTCTAGCAGGCCCCAGGCCTTGACGAATTCACTGCTCCACTGAAGCAGTGGACCACAGTCCACGCATGCCAATCTGCATTCCGAAAGGCCTTCGAGGAAAATGGTTGTGTAGGGGGGCGTTGGCCGTATGAATCGGGTTCCCAGAAGGCATTCTGGGAGCATGGGTTTGGGGCGTCTTGGGGAGCCTGTTGGGGCGTGCCGTCGTCGTCGTCGTCGTCGTCGTCGTCGTCGTAATGTCGTCGTCGCCTATTGGGCCGCGCCGTCGTCGTCGTCGTCGTCGTCTTCGTCGTTTCGTCGTCGTCGTCGTCGTCGTCGATTCAAGAGGGCACTTGGGGCAACTTTGTGCGAAACGATCTCCGGAGGGCGGCGAGAAGGCGATCAGTCATGTTCCCAATCAACTTCCCAGACCTCTCCTGTAGCATGATGGTACTTCGAAGCCTCCGGAGACTCGCGGGCCCATGATGAAACATGTCCCCGGAAGGCTTTCTGGGGACATGGTTTGTGGGGTGTGTTGGGGGGTCTCTTGGGCGTTCCCTGGGGGCCCCTTGGGGGCCTCCGGGAACTCTCGGGCCCATGATGAACCATGTCCCCGGAAGGTTTTCTGGGGACATGATTTCTTGGCGTGTTTTGGGGGGCCTCTTGGGCGTTCCCTGGGAGCCCCTTGGGGGTCTCTTGGGGCTTCCTGGGGGCCTCTTGGGCGCCTCACGGGGCTTCGTGGGAGCCTCTTGGTGGCCTCCGGGGGCCTACAGGCGGCCTCGAGGGCCAGAGACCTCGAAATATCGGTTGGCGGTCCCCCTCTGGGCCCTCTCTTGGGGAGCTCTTGGGGCACAGTTGGGTTGTCTGGGGAGCCTCCTGGGCAGTCTTGGGGCCCTGTCTTGGAGCGATCTGAAGGGCCTCCGAGCGAGGCCGTGAGGGAGCGCTGGGAAGCGGGGAAAGCGAGAACGCCTAAATCCTTCAAAAACCATCGGAAAATTAATGAATTTTGCCTCCCAGGGCCCTCTTGGGGAGCCTCTTGAGTCCTTCCAGGAGCGTGTTGGAGTCCTCGTCGGCCGTCGTCTTCGGGGCCTCTTGGGACCGTCTAGGGCCCTCTCGGGACCTCCATTAACCTGTCGTGGCCTGCTTTGGGGCGGGCCGGGCCGCCATCGGGGTCCCTCTGGGCCTTCTCTTGGCGCGCTCTTGGAGCACACTTGGGTTGTCTGGGGAGCATCCTGGGCAGTCTTGGGGCCCTCGTCGGGGCCTCGTGGGCCTTCTTGGAGCGATCTGAAAGTCCTCCGAGGCCGTGAGGGAGCGCTGGAAAGCGGGAAAAGCGAGAACGCCAAAATCCAAAACACTCGGAAAACGAGTGAATCTTGCCTTCCAGGGCCCTCTTGGGGAGCCTCTTGAGTCCGTCCTGGAGCGTGTTGGAGTCCTCGTCGGCTGTCTTGAGGGCATCTTGGGTTTCTTCGGGGCCTCTTGGGACCGTCTAGGGCCCTCTCGGGACCCCCTTAGCCTGTCGTGGCCTGCTTCGGGGCGGGCTCGGGCCGCCTCGGGAGCTCTGGACCCCCCCCCCGCAACCCTTGGTGGGCACCGATGGGGGGAACGGGCAGCGGCCCGCCCCCCCCCCGGGTCTACTCCGAGATAGAGAATCATGTTCCCGGGAAGCTTTCCGGGAGCATGATTTGTTCGGCTCTCCAAGAGGGGGGCCTCTGGGGGCTTACCGAGGGGCGCCTTTTGGTGCTGTCGGCAAGCTTGGAAACATGGTTGGGGCTGTGGGCGGAAGCCCAAGGAATCATGTTCCCGGAAAGCTCTGGGACATTCGATTTACCGAAGTGTCTTGGAGGCCCGCAAGGGCCTGGGGGTCCCTTGGGGGCCTATTGGGGCTTCCGGGGGCCTCTTGGGAGCCTCAAGGGGTTTCTTGGGAGCCTCTTGATGGCTTCCGGGAGCCTCTTAGGCCGGAGACCTTAAAATGTCGCGCTCTTCGGCCCTCTTGGGTCGCTCTTGGGGCTCTCTCGGGGTTCTCTCGAGGCCCTCTTGACTTATCTGGGGAGTTTTCTGATCCGTCCCTGGGCTTTCTTGGGAGCCTCTTCGGCCGTCTTGGAGCGATCTAAAGGGCCTCTGACGCGGTCCGGGACCGTGGGGAGGCGGAACATGGGAGAGAGCAAGAATGCTTCAAAAACCATTTGAGAATACATGATTTTCAACTTCTGGGGCCCTTTGGAGGGGCCTCTGGAGGCGCTCCTGGGGCGTTTTGGCGGCGTCGTCGGCCGTCCTGAGGCCATCTTCGGCGTGTCCGGGGCTTCTGGGGGCTGTCTTTGGGCGTCCTCGAAACCCGGAAGTCATGTTCCCGGAGAGGCTTCCGGGAACATGATTTCGAACGGGGCCCTCTTGGGCCTCCGTGAGGCCGTCTTGGGGGCCTCCTGGGCCGGCTTTGGGGCCTCTTGGGCCGTCTCGGGGGGTCCGTGAGCCCCACAGGACGACCTTTTTGGCCGTCTTGGGCCCGCTTGGGTCTCTCTTGGGCTGTCTTGGGGCTCCTCGGGGGCCTTGGGCACTGCGAAGACGAAGCAAGGGAATATGCTGAATATGTACTTTTTACTACGGGGACGGGCTCATTTCTGCCTCTCGAAGGCCCTCTTGGGGCCCTCTTCGGCCATCTTGAAGCCATCTCGGGCCCTCTTGAGCCTGGCTGAGGCTGTCCTGGAGCCCTCTGGGGGGACCTGGGACCCTGGGAATCATGTTCCCGGAAAGGTTTCCGGAAACATGATTTCGAACGGGGCCCTCTTGGGCCTCCTTGGGGCCGTCTTGGGGGCCTCGTGGGCGGGCTTTGGGGCCTCTTGGGCCGTCTCAGGGGGTTCCGTGAGCCCCACAGGCCGACCCTTCAAGCCATCTCGGGCCCTTTTGGGCCTCGCTGAGGGTGTCCTGGGGCCCAGTAGGGGGCCATGGGCCTCCCTGAGGCCGTCTTGGGGGCCTCCTGGGCCAGCTTCGGGGCCTCTTGGGCCGTCTTGGAGGGTTCCGTGAGCCCCACAATCCGACCCTTTTGGGCCGTCTGGGGCCCTCTTGGGTCTCTCTTGGGCTGTCTTGGGGCTCCTCGGGGGCGTCTGGGGCACTGCGAAGACGAAGCCAGCGAGTATTCTGAAAATTTACGTTTTACCAGGGAAATGGGCCGATGTTTGCCTCTTGAAGGCCCTCTCGGGGCCCTCTTCGGCCATCTTCAAGCCATCTCGGGCCCTCTGGGTTGCTGAAGCTGTCTTGTGGGCCTCTTGGGCGTCCTCGGAACCCGGAAATCATGTTCCCGGAGAGGCTTCCGGGAACATGATTTCGAACGGGGCCCCCTTGGGCCTCCCTGAAGCTGTCTTGGGGGCCTCCTGGGCCGGCTTTGGGGCCTCTTGGGCCGTCTCAGGGGGTCCGTGAGCCCCGCAGGACGACCCTTTTGGCCGTTTTGGTCCCTCTTGGGTCTCTCTTGGACTGTCTTGGGGCTCCTCGGGGGCGTTTGGGGCACTGTGAAGACGAAGCCAGCGAGAATGCCGAAAATGCACGTTTTACAAACAAGAAAAGGGCAGAAAATTTGCCTCTTGGGGGCCCTCTCGGGGCCCCCACGGGCCCTCTTGGGGCGCTCTTGGGCGTTTTTGGTGCCTTTTTTTCAAGTTTTCTTGACCATCTGTACGGCCCGCGTGGCCATTCGTGGGCAATTTGGAAATGGGGGGCAGTCCTGGAGGGTCTGTGACCCCCAAAGGGTTCGGGGGGGCGGCCATGGGGGATGACAGCACCGATTTTGCCCCCCCCCCCCCCCCCCCGGCCTACCCTGAGAGAGAGAGAGAGAGAGAGAGAGAGAGAGACACACACACACACCTAAACATACATACATACATACATACATACATACATACATGCATGCATGCATGCATACATACATACATACATACGTACATGCATACATACATACATGCATACATACATGCATACATACATGCATGCATACATACATATGATACATACGATACAGGCATACACACATACACACATACAAACATCAATACATACATCCATACATACATACATACGTACATACATACATACATGCATATATGCATACATGTACACATATGTGTAAATATACACGTACATACATATATACATACATACATGCATACATACATACATACACACACAAATACATCACATACATACATACAGGCAGACAGACAGACAGGCAGCCAGATACACTTGTATATGCCAACAGAAAATGTTGAAGTAGCATCGCCCGACCCCCCAACCCCCCGCCCTCATTTTGCTTTCTCCCGCGAAGTTCACGTCCCGAATCACATCCACACTGCACGCACCTGAACGCCATCACTGCGAACAGCCGCGGACACTGCCAGGCTGGCCGCACTGGAAAACCACTTCCCACAGGAACAGGCGACCAAAGCCCCTTTAGTGGCCAGCAGCGTCGCGAAAGCCCCCGCCTTTGGATACAAAACACCAAAAACCGCGCATCGCATGTGAGAGTGGGGGGGGGGCGAATCTGGCGAGCCGAGCGGCGCGTCAAGCAGCCAACCGCGCGCAGACAGCGCCCAGCCAAATCCGCGGACAATGCCACGAAGGGCCGCCCCCACGGCGCACGAAGTGGAAAAAAATGCACATTGTGAAAAAATGCACTACGTCCCACCACACAACGGGCGGTAGCAAATAGGCATGCTGTTGTTGCACAGCGCAACATTCTGGTGACTGTGCCACACTATCCTATCCACTTGAACACGGTTTCGTTCTTCATGGTGCGCCCACCTCGCGTCGACAGCCCCTTTCATTGCGTAGATTTGGCGTGATCGAGAAATCAACAAGTCAAGGTTCCTCTTCAAAACAAACACACTCATGCAAAGAATGGGCATGCTCATGCACGCTAAGTCTGCCTGCGAAGACCCGCCAACGGTAGCCGCACACAGCGCAGTGATCGATGGAGCCGTCGCCTGAACAATGCCGACATAGCTGACACTGCCCTGCCGTGTCCTGAATACGCACTGATTAAGCAATAGTTAATACAAGGAAGATCGTGATTCCTAAGGGTCGACAGCATATCCACAACACAAAAAGGCCACTCGAATCGCCTCGCCGTCAGGGAACCATCGGTTTAACTGCCGAACTAGCTCCCTACCAGGGTCGAACGGGTGCAAGATAGGTAATATAGACTTGTTTCTATATTCATATAGACCAATACATCTACACATATACATATACATATCTATACCTATATATGAATATCCGCTTCGGCGGATCATCCCCAAATGCCCTAGGGCTGCCAGTGTGGATGCCGCACCTGGCTGATTCTGCACCCATCCAAATCGAACGACTTGCAGTATGCCTGCAACGGCATCAAGGCGCACGACGTATTCCACCCGTCCCGCGGATTCACAACCATTGTTTCTGATTATGTTGTTGCTGCCTTCAAGACATTCACGTCGCGCCCCTTTACAGATGAAAACACCAAGCTGGTCTTAGTCACCACGGACACACAGATCGTGTAGACGGCACGATATATTAGAATATGTTCATTGGCGCCCGAAGACCACCTGGATTCCCAATGATAGACCTCGCCACACTCGATTCAATACGCCTCATAAATCGCGGCGGCGTTCGAATTTGCGCAACTGTAAAGCGTGAAATCCGGACGGTGTGAGTCCTTGTCCAATGTGGCGATTTTCAGCAACCCCTCGGCGACGCCATCCCGTCCCGTTCGTTAGCTCCTGGCCCCATCAAGAATCCCGACAATTTGCCACAAAATCGAACGAGAAAAGTCTGCCACGCCGGAATGGAGCGTCACACTCCTTGGCGTCGAAACATAATCTCAAAAAGCCGGCCAATGCGTTCAAATATGGCGCTCGCTAGTTGGCCCGATGTCCGCATACCAGCATATCCGCGGAGAAGATCTCTCGGCCCAATTATTCGCTGCAGCGCCCTCATGATGCAGTCTGTCACCAAGACAAATTTTGTTGAGCTTAGGGGGCAACCCTGGCGGACCCCTGAAGCAGCACCAAATACGAATAGTATTCCAGCGCAGCCCTTCTTGGCGTGGATGTTGTTGATACAGAGAGCCTGGATTGCACGGATAAGGAGCGCCGGTATATTGATCGGTTACCAAGCAGTCCATATGAAGGCCCTCGCGATGAAGGGGAAAGGCAGACGCAAAGTCGCAGAAGATCATCCAGGACTTGTTGCCTTCAAGCTGCGCCCTGCCCATCGCGTACGTCTCCACGTCCCCCCGCCCTCATCCTTGTAAAGTAACACTATACGGTACACATGCGTTATGCGTTAATGTAATAAGTGGTTGCTCTACGAATCTCGTGCAAAAAATAAGGAGCACATGCGCGCGCAGCCGCGCGCGCATGTCCAAATCATTTATTTTACGTGCGCGCCCTCCGAGAAAACATGACAGGGCCTCAACGAGGTCGCTTGACTTTGCCAGAAGATTCACTGGTAGATTCACGTCTATATTACGGGAACCTGTCATAAAGTTGAGATTTGCAAAACTACTCAGTACAAAGCTGACACTGTTGCCCTTCTGCTCAAAGCCACCCGTTGCCGATTTTGGAGCGCAGGTCGTCACGATTGCGGCAATCACCGCGATGGGATATACGCTTTCGTGCACGTTGAATGCGCGTGCGAAGTGAAAACTGTTCCATGGCCAGACCCTGAATTTGGAGATCCGAATGGCGCGAAGCAAGGCTTCGTCACAGAGGAGCGGTCGAGCCCGTGCAACTCTCACTCTGATACTCTGTGCACTCTGCCGAAGCAACGCTGCACGTCAAAGTGAAGCTTGAAGCACCGCTGACCACGTCGCCATTGACATCCGTATATACGTAACAGCTGGCGGACCCTGCAACCTCTTTATCGTAGTCGGCCTGTGCCAGGGTGCTAACTGAGCAGTCCGAATACGCGTAGAATTGAAACGTATACACTTCTGATTGCGTGACGTCCACCTTGAGAGAACGGTCATAAAACAAGACGAACAACAATGCAGAGTCGAACGATGCCATCGTACGCAGACAAAAACAAAACCAATACTTTGATCGAACCTGCGTGCGAATCGGTACAAGCTTATGCTGGGCCTTCCCTGTCCACCTTGAAGGCTTAAACCGAATGGTTTGAGCCACATATGGCTTGAGCCAAACTGGCTACAGACGCGCATGCCCACATCATTCAAAGGCGTCTAACAGGTTCAAGACGTAGTTATTCCAGAACCCTCAAAGCCACTAGTGGCTGCCTTACTGTTCCTTCGGGTTCGCAAAGTTTCCCCTGGGTGGCTGGCGCATGTTCTGGTGGCTGGCTAGGTTCCTATGAGGTCCAATTGCTGTGGTTGTGGTATCCTCCGGTGGCCGCACGGGTTCACATGTGTTCCTGTGGGTGGCTTGCTTATTTTCGGGTGGCCGCTTGGGGATCCTGCGGGTTCCCGAGGGTGGCTGCCGTACTTCCGAGTGGTCGCCTGGGTTCGTCTGGGGTTCACGTACGCACGGTTCCGCACACACACACACAGGGTTCCACGCTTACTGTTCCACACATCATCTTCCTCACTCCTCACACAGTCGGACCCACACCTGGGGTCCTCACATAGGTCTCCACAAAAATCTAGTTCCACACTTCTTGGGTACACACACACACATTGCCCCTCGAATCAACTGTTTGATGTCCACGAGCTGGCATCTTAGCAGGCATGAACTGGCACAACATGGTAGGGCATGGCACGGCGTGGCCTGAAAATGGGACTGCGGGGATAAGGTGGGGAGGGAAGCCGAAACTGAATCTCGAAGGCGATAGCCCAGCCAGAACACAAGGCCGAAATCCAGAGGCGGTAACCAGCCACGACAGCAAGCTCAGGCCGATGCCGATACTCCGACGACCCAGATCGGCAGCAGAATCACCACAGCGTCAGCCTCCCGATAGAGACTGCCAGGAGTCGGCAGCTCGATCCTCCTTCTTCTCCTCCCCCACCTCCATCTCCTCCTCCTCCTCGTCCTCCTCCTCCTCTTCCTTCTCCACCTCCTCCTCCTCCTACTCTTCCTCCACCTCCTCCTACTCCTCCTCCTCCTCCTCCTCCTCCTCCTCCTCCTCCTCCTCCTCCTCCTCCTCCTCCTCCTTCTCCTCTCGCCGCTCCGCGGGGTCCGCCGATGTTGGCGAGACAGAGACGGGAATATGTGGCGTACGCTACGCCTTGTGGCTCCAGCTTGCAAAGATCCGCCAGAGTGCCTTGGCACGCAGTAGAGTGTCCTCATTTCACTTAGAGCCCTCTTTGCTGAATCTTGAATACTGACATTGTTTTAAGGGGCCCACTGCCCTGAGCTCTGGGCTCTGCCCGGGCACGACCGCGTGACGTGTCCAAAGGCCAGAGAACGAAAGACGGCCCGAGAGCGTCAGGAGAGCCCAAGTCGGATCGGCGATCGAAATGAATCGAATCGGCGGAAATCGGCAGCCAAGTCGGGAGAAGTCGAACTTGCAGACATCGGCAGGCTAGTAGGCCTCCAGTGAGAAATCGGATCCCAAATCGGAATCCGAAATCGAATCGAATCGGAGTCGGAATCCATCGAAATCGAATCGAATCTAATCATCAGGATCGAAACGAGCCCTGGAGCGTCCTCAGAAGCCCTCAAGACGGAACAAGAGAGTCCCAAGACGACCCAAGAGCGCTCCAAGACGCCCAGGATGGCCTCAAGATGCCCCAAGAGACACTAAGAGACCCCCAACAGCGCCCCCAAAGGCAGAAACTACTGATTTCTATTCGTTGGTTGACGGGTATTAGCACTCTTGCTCTTCGGGCTTCTAACGTTTCAAAACTTAGCAAAAGAACCCCAGGATCTCCTCAAGACTGCCCAAGAGGCCCAAGAGGAAGGGCCCCAAGACAGCCAAAGAGGGCCACAAGAAGGCCCAACAGGCCCTCAAGGCGGCCTAAGAGGGCCCCAACACGAATTGGCATGTCGAGCCTTCCGCTCCAAGATGCCCCCCGAGACCACCAGCTGGCCCCCAAGGCCCTTAAGAAGCCCCAGGGGGCCGCGAAGAGGTCCAAGAGACACCCCAAGACGCACCCAAGAGGCCCCCGAGAGACCCCAAGACACCCCAAAACTGGCCTCCCAAGAGATCCAAACAGGCACCCAAGAGGCCTCTTACCTACAAGCCCTGCACAGTCGCGAGATGGGCCGCCCTGCATGCTGGCACAGGGGGCGCACGTTGTGCCAAGCTTAAACTAGCCCTTGAAGTCCTGCCAAGAGGCTCCAACTGGGGTCTCAACACATCCCACCAGCAACCCGGGCGATTCCCAAAGTCAAGAACTTGTGATTCCGAGAGGGCCAAGATGACCCTCAAAATAGCCCAAGATGGCCCCGAGATGCCTCCCAGATGGACCCAGGGTGGCGCAAGATGGCCTCAGGACGGCCCACGAGATTCCCAAGACGGCCCAAGGGGGCTTCAAGAGGCCCTCAAGGAGGGCCCGAAGATGCCAAAATCCCTGAAGACCATTTTGCGTTTGAAGGATGTTCACGTTCTCGCCTGTTGGGGCCGTCCACGGCCCAAGGCGGCCCCACAGGATTCCAAGACAGCACCCAGACAACCCTGAGAGCTCCCAAGAGGGGCCCGAGACTGGCGGCGGAGAGGGCCCCAAGACGGCCACAAAGACCTCCAAGACGGCCCGAAAGCGTCCCAAGAGGGCATCAACACGGCCCAGTGAGGCCTCGAAGACGGCCTCCGAAGACCACGCGGCCCCTTGTAGGCCCCCAGGGGCCGCCAAGAGGTCCCCAAGAAGTCCCCAAGAGGCCCCCAGAAGCCCTCAGAGCCTCAGAGGCCCCAAAGAGGCCCCAAAGAGGCCCCAAAGAGGCCCCTATAAAGCCCTCAGAAGGCCCCAAGAGGCTAACAAGAGGTCTCCTCTTCCTCATCCGCCTCCTCCTCCGCCCCCTTTCCTCCCTCTCCTCCTCCTCCTCCTCCTCCTCCTCCTCCTCCTCCTCCTCCTCCTCCTCCTCCTCCTCCTCCTCCTCCTCCTCCTCCTCCTCTACCAAATGTTCCCCCAAGGGTATTCACCACAGCTCGGGAGACACGTAGCCCAACAGCTTGGCAAGACTTCGGCCCAACGTTTGGCCACAGACATGTTTACGAAAGGGGTGGACTGCGGTGATTCGCCGTGAGCATCTTCGATATATGCGAAATACGCTACACACACACAGACACACAAACTCACACTCACGCTCACCCTACACAGCTTCTACAAAGTATCACGGGATCCTCAAACTAATTTCTGTACCACGGCCCGAACGGGTGGACTGCGGTGATTCGCCGTGAGCATCTTCGATATATGCGAAATACGCTACACACACAAACTCACACTCACGCTCACCCTACACAGCTTCTACAAAGTATCACGGGCTCCTCAAACTAATTTCTGTACCACGGCCCGAATGCAATTCACAACCTCGGCTGTGTGCAGGGAGGGGGGCATGAGAGCTTCGAGCGGCACCAACAGGCGGCCACTCGGTGGAGATCTCCTTCTCCGTAGCGCGGCAGAGACACGACACGCCAGCCAGCAATGCCTCGAGCGCCGAGGCGACAAGGTGCACGGCAGGCCTCCTCGTAAACTTCCCCGCACAGCTGATCAGACAAGGTTGCACTTGGGCGAGTCCGAAGATGAGCCAGTCTCACTGTCAGAAGAGGAGGTGGAGGAGGAGGAGGAGAAACCCGGCTCGTCCTTGCCCCTGCCAAGCCTGGCCTCTGGGCCCCAGAAGTGCTGCAGCTCCCACTGGACATCGCAGAGAAGCTGGCACAGCGCGTGAAAGCGCAGCGCCACGCCCACGGGATACCGCACGGTCCCCGCGCGCGCGTCGACCGCGCGCGACACGCGGAGATATCGCAACTCGGCGTAACAGCGCCGCAGCTCCGCGAGAGCGGCCCCGAGCTTGGCCGAGGCGCCTCCTCCGCCGTCGGCGCGTCGAGCACTGGCCTCTTGCAGCACCGCGCTCGTGGCCCTCAGAGACTCGCCCACGGCCTCCGCCTGTGACACCTCCGTGTCTCCCGGGCTCGGGGGGCCTGCGAAGAAGGCGTGCTGCAGGAGAGGCACCGGAAGCGCGCAGGTGTACGCCGCCGCCGGCTCAGCCTCCCGCTCGCGCTCGCGCGCGGAGCCCTCCGAGGACGCGCGCGCCGCGGCGGTCGCGCCTGCGCCCGCCGAGAACGCTCGCGCAGGGTCGACCTCAGCAGCGAACAGCCTCTGCAGCCCAGCTTCTGCGGAGGAGGTGCCTCCCCGCAGCCAGGCCGCGGCATCTGCAGCAGCGGCGGCCAGCCGCCGAGCCCGACAGAGCTGATGGACGCGGTGGGCGTAGTCGCCGTGGGATCCCCTGGGCCCCAAGAACTTGCCGCCGAACTCCACGGCGACCTTGTGGTATGCGCTCGCACTACTGACGTGCGCCTTCGCTGCAGCCGCCGATGCCGCTGCGTGAGCGGCGGCGTCCCCACTGCTGTCAGAGGCGAGTGAGTCGGCGCCCACGCCGTCGCCACCAGAGACATCGCTGCCGAGGGCGCGGGCTGCACACGCCAGAGCGGCGGCTGCCGAGGCGGCGGCGGCCCTCAGGGAATCCATGGCAAGGCCGTGCGAGGAGGTGCGCCAAATGGCCAGGTGCACGAAGCACCCCCACAGAGCACCAGCCCACACGCCCAGTGCGATCGCGACGGCACTGTGGCCGGCCTTGGCGATCGATTCCGCGCGGTCGTGCTCCGCGCTGTAGGCACCCAGGAAGGCGCTAGCGAAAGTGTACGTGAACTTTTGGCACATGTACGCCCACGTATGCCAACCTCCACTGTACGGCGTGCTTCGCATCCCGATCAGAATGGCCAGCAGAGTAAGCATGACCAGGTAGAGCGAGAAAACGACAGGCTGCCAGACCCGACCGAGGATTCCTGGCCAAGACAACAAGACATAGCCCAGGTAGGAAAGGAGGCAAGCTGCCGAGGCCCCAAACAGACGAAGGGCGGTCTTCCTCAGGGCCCCGTCGGTCGTACCCACGAACACGGTGGCGTACGACAGTAAAGCCAGAGCCGCAAACTCGCTGTTGCCTTCCGAGAGGAAGTGCCGACAGGGTGCCGAAATCAGCAAGGGGAGCCACAGCAGGTTGCAGCCGACCAGCCACTTGAGTGCATGTCGGCGCTGCTGTGACCAGTGGATGGGACTCAAAGCCTTCGAAGAGCAAGCGCTAATCAAGCCACGACAGCCTGCCCGCATGCCCTTCCAGAACTCAGACGCCAGCTTCCCCGTGTGCGCGGCTGGTGGCTCCAGCACTCCCCACACGGCCACCCCGACGAAGCAACAGCGTGGCCAGGTCTCCGCAGCCGCCTGCGCCTCGGCCACCGCAGCTGCGGCTTGCGCGGCACGCGCTGGCACTATGACGAAGGCCTGAACCATGCGAAGGAATGAGGCGTCCCTGGCGAAGACCCCTCCAATGTGAGCGGCCGTGAACGCCGTCTCGCGGGCCGTAAAATTCGCGAAGCTAATCAGGCAATTGAGCTCTGCGGCGCTGACCGCTGTCGCCAAGCCGAGGTCGAGCACCTGCGCCGCCTCGAATCGCACGGCATCGGCGGCCCTCTTGAGCTCTTCTGGCGGCGCGCGGCGCTCGAGCTTCGCGAGAATCGCTGCGACCGAGGTGTGAAGCGACTCGGCGGCCTCCGCGGCCTCTGCGGACCAGGTCTGGATCACGCTCAGGTGCGGCAGCTCCTCGGCCCCGCGGCCCTCGGCGATGGCCGCCGAGTCTCGGCGGGCGCCGCGCGCCTCTGCCACGAGCCCGGCGAGTGCGACCTGCAGCTGTGCCCACGCGGCACGCGCCGCTGCGCCGCCAGGCAGCGCCCGAGGCTCGACCGCGGCAGCCGCGAGCGCCACCGCACACTGGTCGGCGAGACTGGACGCCCTCACCTCGGCCTCGACGTCCGCACGCGCCGGCTCGGACGCCAGCGGGGCCGCGGGGGGGGTGGAAGCGATGTCATCGCTCTCGTCGTCGCTGTCGCCGCTGCTGCGTCGGCACGGGCTTCCCGAGGATGGCACAGCGGCGGCGGCCGAGTCTGGGAGGGACTCCAGGCAGGCGGCACCAGCGTCGGCGCCGCGTCCGAGCAGCAGCAAGCCGCGCGGAGCACTGCCAGGCAGCGGGAAGGGAACAGCGCCCTCCCAGAGCCACTTCTTCCGAGCACTCTCGAGGTGTTCGTTTGCCTCCTGCCTGAAACCCGCGGCTCTCTCCAGCTGCAGCCGCAGGGAAGCATACAGCTGCTTCCGCCCGGTTCGGGCGGGCGGTATTGCCAGCGCGATGCAGAATAAGAGGGCAGCGAACATGAGCTCCGCCCATCGGATGAACAAGCTGTTCCCAGGCGTGCCGTGTTCGGACCACCAACTGGCAGGCACGCCCACTGGCACGGCACCATCCTCCAACCAGGGCAGCCAGATCGTGCGCAGCACCGCCAGCGGCCGAACACTGGCGCGTTGGGCCTCCAAGCCGGCGTCCAAGGCGCCTCCGAAGCTCCAATCGGCTGACAAGATGTTCGTCCAGAGGGCGACCCCCTTCAATACCGATGAACCATAGGCGTGCATCGGCATGCACACGAGAGTGTAGTTCAGCATGCACACGCCAACCCAGCTCGCCCAAGGGCCGCCAAAGGCCGCCAAGAGCGCGGTAAGCGTTACGAAGATCGGAGTGAGCGTCAACGCCGGGAACACGACAGCCAGGGCCTGGTCCAGGCGGCCGCCCAGCATGGGCGAGTCGACCCGGATGGACAGCGTCAGGAAGAAAACGAGCGGGAAGGTCCGCGAGGCCGCCTCTGGCCGCCACGCGGGCCTAAAGACGAGCAGCAGCAGCGGAAGGCCGACGGCAACGTAGCGCAGGGCCCGCTCCGCGAGGACGGCGGCTGCGCCGGAAGCAAACGATGCGCCGCGGGCCATCGCCGTCGTTCCAAATAGGCCGCCGGGGGCCCAGTGCTCTCGGGGATCCGATCGGCTTGGACTGCGGTTCCCGTAAACAACGACGACAATGGCGGCGGCGGCGACAACGACGGCAACGGGAACGGCAACAGCGATATCGATGGTTTCATCGATGACGTCGGCAGCGGCGGCGGCGGCGTCAACAGCGACGGTAGGGACGGTAGGGACGGCAGGAACGGTAGTAACGGTAGTAACGGTAGCGACGGTAGCGACGATGGCGGCGGAGAAACCCAAATCTCCCAGGCGGCGTCGACAGCGACTGGCCCAGAACGACTTTGAATGACTGCCACATCGGCAGCGACTGCCACTGAAACTGTGGCTGAAGGCATCGAATACGATATGCCAAAACGGCAAAAACTAACCAAGAACAATCAAACATGTTTGCCAGCAGGGACCCCAAAGAATGCGTTTCATTCATATGTGTTGTGAAATTTCCGTGGCGCAACATGAATGGGGCAATCTATGCGGCGCAACATACGCGGTGCTGAATATGTGGTACAGTCAACGTGGAACGAACCACGGTGTGCGATGTACACTGTAAAATGTATGCTGTGCGATCTATCCCACCCACCTACCCACAACTTGGTTTGCAAAACCCATCCGGTGGCGATTGCGATGCATGCGTGGCGTTGGCTGATGCATCCCTGCGGCCGCGCCAACCTTAGCACGCACGCGCAGCGGCCAGCTAGTTTGGCGCCACCGACGCGGCCGCAATGGCGCTGACCGCTGGGCGCATCCCAGCGGGCACTTCAGTACGAGTCGGCGACTTGGTCGGGCGCGGGATCATGGCAACGCCGACAATGACAGACACGATGATGATAGTAACGACACTGATGACGATGTTCGCACCGACGACGGCGCAGCCAGTGCGGCCGCCGATGCTGATCACGCCGACGACGATGACGGCGTCCTCGCGTCGGCGAACAAGGCTTTGGAAAGAGTTCGACATGCACGCGCGGCCGACGCGCGAGAGTGGCCCGCATGGTTCTTTCTTGGCACGAATCGTGCCCACCCCGGCACGCGCACACCGTCGCGCGAATGATGTCGGTATGCGGCGCCGGAGGCCCGTTTGGCAGAACTCCATGGAAATATTGAGAAACCAATGGTTTTCTTAAGAATTCGCAAAAGCGCGCGCAAGCTTTTTTTGAAAACTGATGTTGCGAAACCATGTTTCCGAATGTTGTTGGGACATTCGGCTTTGAGATCGCTCCGAAACCGAAAGTCTCTGACGTCTTTTTCACAACCGCCCTGTGGCGTTGGGTACTCATTTTCCCCGCGTTCCTCCTCCTCCCTCCTCCCTCCTCCCTCCCCATCCCCCCCCCTCCTCCACCCTGCGTTTCACCCACCAAGTACACCGCTTCGTGGCCCCATACGGAGCTCCACCGAAGGCCCCAGCGCCACCGCCCGCATGCGCCCCCCACACCCATTTCGGCACACCCCTCACGCGCCTCCTGGCCCCATAGGGAGGCCCACCGAAGGCCGCAGCGCCACCGCCTGCATGCGCCCCGCACACCCACTTCGGCACACCCCTCGCACGTTTCGTAGCCCCATACGGAGCTCCGCCGAAGGCCCCAGCGCCACCGCCCGCATCCGCCCCCCACAGCCACTTCGGCACACCCCTCACACGTTTCGTGCCCCAAAGGGAGCTCCACCGAAAGCCACAGTGCCACCGCCCGCCTGCGTCCCCCACACCCTTTCGGCATGCCCCTCACGCTTTTCGCGACCCCGTAGGGAGCTCCACCGCGCCGAGAAGGCGCCAGCGCCACCGCCCGCATGCGTCCCCCACACACACAAATTTCGGCACACCCCTCACACGGTTCGCGAAGGCGCCAGTGCCATCGCCCGCATGCGTCCCCCACAACCACGTCGGCACACCACTCACACGCTCCGTGGCCCCATTGGGAGCTCCACCGAAAGCCACAGCGCCGACGGCCCCAGCGGCTGCCTTTCGTGTGCGCCCACCGATAAATTTCGGCACCACGCTTCGTGGCCCCATAGGGGGCTCCACCAAAGGCCACAATGCCGCGGCCCGCACGCGTCTCCCACGCCCACGTCGGCACACCCCTCTCAAGTCTCGTGGCCCCAAAGGGTGCTCCACCGAAGGCCCCAGCGCCACCGCCCGGATGCGCCCCCTACACCACTTTCGGCACACCCCTCACACGTCTCGTGCCCCAAAGGGAGCTCCAACGACGGCCGCAGCGCCACCGCCCGCATGCATCCCCAACAGCCATTTCGGCACACCCATCACGCGTTTCAAGGCCCCATACGGAGCTCCACCGAAGGCGCCAGCGCCACCGCCTGCACGCGCCCCCCGCGCCCATTTCGGCACACCTCGCACACGCTTCGCGGCCCCATAGGGTGCTCCACCGAAGGCCCTAGCGCCACCGCCCGCATGCGTGCGCCCCCCACAGACATTTCGGCTCACCCCTCACACGCTTCGCTGCCCCAAAGGGAGCCCCACCGAAGGTCGCAGCGCCACCGCCCACATGCGCACCCCACGAACATTCCGGCACACCCCCCACGCGTCTCCTGGCCCCATAGGGAGCTCCACCGAAGGCGTCAGCGCCACCAGCCGCGCCGCGCTCCGCCGCGCGGCGCGCGCAGGGGAAGACAGCGGCGCCTCGCTCTGGCGCAGGGGCGGCGGCCGGCGCGGCGGGCGCGGCCGGGGCCAGGGATGGAGACGGGGAGCGCGACGTCGCTGGGCCAGGGCGCGTCCGAAGTGCGCGAGAACCAGGGGGCGCGCGCGGGCGGCGAAGGCCTGGGTGGCGCCGTGGCGCGCGCGAGCGTCGCGGGGAGAAGAGAAGCGGCGGCGGTGGAGACGGGGAGCGGCGCTGAAGGGGCAAGACCAGGGGCGGCGAGGGCCCCCACGTCGGGGAAGCGAAAGGTGGAGCCTGGGTCAGAGGCGGAGGCCCCGCGGAGGTCGGCGCGCCCGGCGGCCCCCCCCCCGCGCCCGGCCCCTGTCGCCGTCGAGGGGGAGGCTGCCGCGGGCGCGGGCGCGCATGCTCGAGGGGGGGTGCTGGCGCGCCCGGAGCGCGCGGAGCCGCCCAGACTCTCGCACGGCGGCGGCGCTCGACTGGTGACACATTTCGGCTCAGGAAGAATCGAGGATTCGGCTGCGCCCCAGCGCAGCCGCGACCTGGGGGATGCGACGCGGGCGTCGCAGCGGGCGTCGCAGGGGGCCCGAGGGGGAGGCGTGGATCAAGGCATTGAGCTGGATCCGTCTGCGGGGCCCGCCTGGCACGAGGGTCGATAGGGCGGGGGCATGCAGGGGGCTGGGCGCGTGGCAGGGGAAGGCGCGAGGGGCGGGCGGAGCGGGCAAACTAGGGCAAGGCTGCGCTGCGAGTTTCGCGCGCCCCCCCCCTTATCTCGCGTTCTCTCTGCGGGCGCCCCGCGAGGGCGGAGTGGTTGGGGCGGAGGGGGGGCTGGCCCCATAGCCGGGCGCCGCCTCCCCCCTCCGGAGCGCCGGCGGGGCGAGGAGGGTGCGATTGGATGAAGGGCTGGATCTCATTGCGGCGACGGCGTTGATCAAATGGTTTGATAGTTTCGTCAGGGATAGGATCGATGATCGGGGGGGCTTGGGGGGCGTCGGACATGCCAGGGAACGAGTCGGATCCGTCGGCGCAGTTTCCGGCGTTGCGCCGAGGGGCCACGTGCAGGGCGGCTGTTGTTGGCGAGGAGGGACGGGGGGTCGGCAGGCCCTGAGCAGGGCAAGGCCTCGCGGCGAGGTGCGCCCCACCCCCCACCCCCCCACCTCTCCTCTCCTGCGCCGGCCCTCCGCGAGGGCGGAGTAGCTGGAGCCGAGAGAGGGCCGGCCCCGTAGCGGAGCGGCGCCTACCCCCTCTGGAGCGCCAGCGGGGCGAGGAGGGCGGGCGCGGCGAAAGGCGCGGATCTTCGCGTGGGGGCGGCAGAGGGCGCGGGGAAGCGGGTCCTGAGCAGTCGGGGGATCGGTGCGCGAGCGCGTCGTCATCGCTGCGTCCGCGCGCACGGGTGTTTCTGCGTGCGCGCATCTGCGCCTGCGTGTCTGCGTGCGCGCGCGCATTCGCGCGCGCGTGCGTGCGCTTGCGTAAGAGGGCGCGTTCGTGCACGCACGCGCACGCGCGCGCGCCCGTGCGGGCGCGCGCGCGTGGGCGGGCGCGCGTGGATGCGAGCGCGCGCGCGCGCGTGTTTGTGCATGCGTTCGCGCGCGCGCCCGCGATGGCGCCGCCCTCCGCGCGCCCCCCCCCCCCCTGCCTCAGGCGCTCCGCGAGGGCGGAGTGGATGGAGCGGAGGGAGGGCCAGCCCCAAAATGGAGCGGCGCCTCCCCCCCCCGGAGCGCCAGCGGCGAGGGCGGGGAGCGAGGCGCGCGGGGGCGGCGAGGGGGGCGCGGGGGAGAGGGCCCTGGGCAGTCGGGGGATCAGGGCACAATGCAGGTGCATATGCGCATGCGCAACGTGCATACGCATGCACATCAGAATACACAGGCAGCCAACATACAGATCGACAGAGTCACTAGGTTGCTACGCGCGCGTAGACGCGAGCGCGTGAACTGGCAGTACATGTTGCTCTGGTGGCCGTTCCACGCACACCCTGACCCCGCGCGCGCGGCGACTTCCACATGGTTGCAGAAGTGGGCGCATGTAGTGCGCCATATGCATGCGCGTCGGCATGGCTCCTGCACACCAGAGTTCCTCCGACGACACAGGAACTCTACGAGGTCCCCGGCGGTAACCAGGTTGACGGTTCACCGCCGGCGCCAAGTGCCTCGCAGAGCTCTTCGGCTAGATGAGCTAAGAGGAATTTGACAGCAGGGTGGAGCTAGTTGGCCGATCGGGGCAGAATGCAACTTGTGACGACCTGGGTTCGGTTTGTCAAAAGTTGAATCAGCATTTGAGCATTGAATTATGCTGCGCTCGCCGGTAGAAAATCCAGGGCTGTAGCTGCAATATTTGCATCGATTCACTTCCCGGAACCGACCTTTAGAAAGTGAGCTGTTGAAGAACATGTAGCTGTCCGACCTGAACTTGAGATTTAGGCAACCTACAGAGGTTTCACG